GGGTGGGGTTGTGCGTGAACAGCCAAGAGGAAGACCTTGCTGACATCAAGGGTGTAGAAATCAGGTGATCCTAACTGGGAAGTCCCCATGAACTGACAAATGTGCCTCATAAGGGAAAAAATAAAAATCATTTAACTTCCACCATGTCCCAAATCACTAGCTCCAGATCACAACCACACAATTGAAGACTGGCATTTCCTGAATCTAACCTTTGTTCTCTTCCTGCCCTGTTCCCAGAGAATTCAAGAATTAGAGTTCATGAGAAGAAGTCCATCATGCTTCCTACCCCATTAACTGGCTTCCCAACGTGATGTCAGTGGATGTTGGAGAAGAAACCTTCAGTTTCCAGTGGATTTCATAGTTTGTTTGTTTTTCAGAGTAGACATCTCAATTACTAGACTGAATGTGTTCTCAGAACTAAATAATGTTTTATTATCTGGGAGTGACTCGAATAGTCTTTTAACACATGAGCTAGTTTTCAGATGGAGCAGGGAGAAACTGCATCGTAGCAGTTGTAAGAACTGATATCGGTAGGGGGAGACAGTTGTTTCTGTGGGTATCCTGTCACAGACAGCTAGATGCTGATCAATTCCAGGGAACACAGATAAAATGATTTCCCAGCTTCTGTAGCATTTGGGTTGGTGTAATGTGACTGGGATCTGCCCAATAAACTGTCAGTGGAGATGTGCTACTACGTAGACCTGGCTATACTAGTAAACCACCCCATGATTCCCTAATTTTCTCCTGACATCATGCCTAGAAGTGAGGGCCTCTGAGATTATGTATGATGGGAATCTTGCTACATGGTAGGAAATCAAGATCCCTGAGTCACTGCTTGGAAGCCAGCACCATCCCCAAACTCAGCAAATCACCTGACCATATGCAAACTGTAACAGGAGCAAAAATAAACTTTTATTTTTTTTAATCCACTGTGATTTGAGTTTGTTTTCCTCAACACAGCCCTAACTCTCTTTCCATAAAATTCTGACAATATTAGCAATTATATGCATAGTTCCCACAACTGATTCTGATTAATCAGTGGGTGTTAACATTAAGTAGAGAATAATTTCCTTGGAGAATCAAGTATGCAGGCATCTCTCCTTAAAGCCAGATGAGAAACACAAAAGCACCCAAATCTGTTCTTTAGTGAACAATGTCATAACACTGTTATGTGGAGGGAAGGGAAGGGTATGTCTATCTGAGGTCCACAAGAATGGGTAAGATGAGCTGAGAATTTAAACCCTGCCCAATCCTAAAAAAAGGCCAATTCTTGGTTTCTCAGTGGGAAGAAAAGGTATATAACTTCTAATTAGAGTAATGAGAGATTTTGGTGATGCACAAATTTGAGCTTGGCCTGGAGAGGTTGGTAGGATCTGATTAGACAGAGGACAGAGAGGCTATTCCAGGAGGGAAGTGCAGCCCAAACAAAGGGTGCAGGTACAGGAATGAGTGTGTTACAAGCATAGGAAATGGACCAGTCACTAACCATGATAGATCCCAACATTTGGACCATGGATATTAAGACTAAAAAGATCAAAAGGGGTTTAGGGAAGAATTTTGAATAAAGGATTGATAAGATAGCATAATTTGACTATTAGATGATTCCCAGGGATAATATATTGTGACTAGGGGCCCAGTGCACAAATTTGTGCACCTTGAAAGGAACTGTAGATCTCAAGGCTGTGGTGAGCACAAGGGCAGGTCTCGGCCCATCCTCCGAGCCCCCACTCACCTGCTCCACCATCCCACCAAGGCTGACACCCACCATGTTCTGCATGTGCCCCCTGGTGGTCAGCTCATGTTATAGCAACTGGTTGTTCAGTTGTTCCACCATTTGGTCTATTTGCATATTAGGGTTTTATATATGGATATTACCATGTGCCAGTTTCTGTACTAGGAGCTTTATATTTCATTTACTTCTTATAATCCAGTGATGTATGTATTTTTACAGTCTCATTTTATAAATATGAAAATTGATGCAGAGGGTAAGAAGGTAATTTGATCTCAGTTAAAAAGCATAGTGAGTTTAACATCCAGAATTCAGGCTCAGGTAGTTTGACTCCAGTAAATGCTCTTAACCACTATACTGTATTTTGAGAATAAGGTGAGGGTTGGAGGCAGTGAGGAGTAGTGGAAAGAGCTTTAACTTTGAAATCATAATAATCTTGGCTTGAATTCTTTCTCTATCGTACAAAGTCTTGGCCACACAAAACTTTCTGAGTCTGAAAATACATACATATATATATATATATATATATATATATATATATATTATTAATTTATTTCAGCGAGGAAGGGAGAGTGAGAGAGAGATAGAAACATCAATGAAGATAGAGGATCATTCATTGATCAGCTGCCTCCTGCACACCCTCCCCCCACTGGGGATCAAGTCCGCAACCCGGGCATGTGCCCTGACTGGGAATCGAACCATGACCTCCTGTTCATAGAGCAACACGCAACCACTAAGTCAGGCTGGCTGGGCTAAAAATACATATATTTTTAATAAAGATAATACCACCTACCTTTATTTATTTATTTATTTATTTATTTATTTATTTATTTATTTTTAATTTAAGAAATCTCTGGTATAAAGGGTAACTTGTAAGGCACATAGAGCACAGTAGGTGGCTCAGTACATAGTAGACTTTATAATAGTGCAGTATTATATGTGGCACTGCCTGATGACATTTGCAGATATGTGACTGGAGCTGGGGATAAAGGTGAGTGTTGAAGCAACAGCTACCTATACAGTGGTTCTCAACCTTCCTAATACCGTGATCCTTTAATACAGTTCCTCATGTTGTGGTGATCCCCAACCATAAAATTATTTTCGTTGTTATTTCATAATTGTAATTTTGCTACTGTTATGAATCGTAATGTAAATATCTGATATGCAGGATGTATTTTCATTGTTACAAATTGAACATAAAGCATAGTGATTAATCACAAAAACAATATGTAATTATATATGTGTTTTCTGATGGTCTTAGGCAACCCCTGTGAAAAGGTTGTTCAACCCCCAAAGGGGTCGCGACCCACAGGTTGAGAAACGCTGCTATATAATATGCTAATTGAGTTTTCAACAGTGGATGAGAAAGAGGGAATGGGGCTCTTAGTGGCTGTTAGGCTGTGGGAGATGAAACAGATCCAGAAAAGAATGGTCAGAGAAATAGAAAGTGCGTTTGGTTAAATTTAACTAAAAAGAGTTTGTACTTCCTACAGGTAAATGGGCTGACTAATGGAATGATCTCTTACCTGGAATACCTAGCATCATGAATAAAAAGATTGCTAAAGATTAAATACTTGTCACAGACAACCCACAATATGACTTTACATCTGGATAATATTTTTAATTGTATTTTAAATAAAAGTTACCTCTTCCTTTTCTTGAAAATAATTGGTAAATTAGAAGTGTTATTCATTTTTTACTTTTTTTGGTGTTGCTGTTAATCCTCACTGGAGGGTATTTTCCATTGATTTGTAAAGAGAGTGGAAGGGAGGGTGAGAGACAGAGAAACATCAATGTGAGGGAGACCCATTGATTGGTTGCCTCCCACATGCACCAGGGCTGGGATCAAGCTGGCAACCGAGGTGTATACCCTTGACTGGAATCAAAACTGGGATCCTTCAGTTTTCAGGCCAATGCTCTATTCACTGAGCCAAACCAGCTAGGGACATTTTTACATTTTAATCATGCAAACATCTTAAATGGCTTCTTCCATTTCCATTGGACTCTTTTTTCCCCCAGAATAGCAAAAAGAAAAATAGTTCATTCCCATGAAGAATTTAAGACTACCTTGTCTTTTCAATTTCTAATTTCCATTGCTTTTTTTCCAAAGTAATTTCTCTATTATTTATTCCATAACAAAACATTTATTGAGCACTTTAAAGGCACTGTGTTAGGCTTCATAGGATTACAAAAATTAAATTAAAAACAATCACTGTCTTTAAGGTCTGTACATTTCAGGGAAAACAAAAGATATTTATATAGAGATATGCATACAAATCACCAAAAATCAAGCCTTAATATTCAGGTCATGAAAAAAAATTACTGCTTATTTCTAAGGATGCAGAGCTAAGCAGTGAAAATATATGGGATCAGAACAGGTAGAAATGAGAAGTGACAAAGAGGAAACATTGCTGGAAAACTGAGTAATTATAGTATTAAATTTGAAGATTTTATTGTTCTTGTTTGAACAAAGCTAATGTATAATTTCAATGTGTTGCATTAACAAGTATCAAATAACTTATGTCTTTCCTCTTCCTTTTGATTTCTTTTGAGCCATATTGAACACTATAGTAGCTTATGTAATTTTTAAAAAATTTTTATTGATTAAGGTATTATAAATGTGTCTTTATCCCCCCATTGTCCTCTCATCCCCCAGTCTTGTCCTCACCCTCACCCCTGTTGTCCGAGTCCATCACTTATGCTTATATGCATGCATACAAGACCTTTGGTTGATCTCTCCCCCTTATCCCCAACTTCCCCTACCTTCCCTTTGAGGTTTGAGCATCTGATCGATGCTTCTCTATCTCTAGATCTGTTTTTGTTCATCAGTTTATGTTGTTCATTATAGTCCACAAATCAGTGAGATCATATGATATTTATCTTTCTCTGACTGACTTATTTCACTTAGCATAATGCTCTCCAGCTCCATCCATGCTGCTGCAAATGGTAGGAGTTCCTTCCTTTTTACTGTGGCATAGTATTCCATTGCATAGATGTGCCAAAGTTTTTTAATCCACTCATCTGCTGATGGGCACTTAGGCTGATTCCAAATCTTAGCTATGGTGAATTGTGCTGCTATGAACATAGGGATGCATATATCCTTTCTGATTGGCGTTTCTTGTTTCTTGGGATATATTCCTAGAAGTGGGATCAAAAACATAACTTCCATTTGACCCAGTGATCCCACTTCTAGGCTTATGTAAAATTTTTAAGACAAGTTGCAACTTTCCATAATCATCCTACTGTTTGAAATATACCTATTCAGGTATAACTCTAAAGTTTATACAAGTATGAAAAGGAAATAATCTTTGATCTGCACAATCTGTCACCTACTCAAAAGGCAGGAAAAGATCCCTTTATTGCAAATCTATTGACCACATAAATGTAAGCCAATCAAGAGGAAAGAACTAATTCAGTAGTTTATTTATGGTGCTGTCAGGATTACTACCTAGTAAATAAATTAAGGTCTTATCAGATGACATTAATGTTGAATCACAACACAGAAATTATTGTTAATACAGATCCTTGACTATAGCTATAAAAGCAAATCTGCAGGGATAAACCAGTCCTCAAAGTTTTGGAGCAAAACTTCTTTCTCTTTGAAGTGTCACAGATTTTGCAAGGGTTTATCACCAAGGGATACAGCAGAGAAAAAATAGCCCACTGTACAGAATGTGCTCACCAATTTGAGTGTCAACTTACTAGCATAACCATCACTTCTTGAGACTAAAGCTTACATAAATCTGTATCTACCATGTTTTGTATTCTCAACCCTATACTTTTTCATAAGATGAGCTGCCAGAAGGAGCAATCATTTATTGAATAAGAGGTTAAGGTTTTACTTCATTAAAAAAAGAGGGACTTCCCATAAGATTTAATCATATTTTAATAATAATAATAATAATAATAAACTTATTGAAGACTAATGATGTATCAGATACTGAGCTGAACAGTTTATCACATACCTCAAGTTTGTAGGCATCATTGTATAATGAAAACAGCTCATGTCTTAGAGTCAGGTAGGCTTGTGCTCAAAACTGACTCTTTACTCTTAACTATGTGGGTACCTTAAATAAGTTGCAGATCCGCTCTGAGTCTCATTCTTTTATTTTTAAGAACAGTATACTAATATGTTACACATTAAATATGTAAAGCCTCTTCTATAACAATTGACACAGTAGTGCTCAATAAATTCACAAGCCTAACAGTAGGCACAGAAAATTTACCCATGCTTTAAATAACATTGCCCTGATATTTCTTACTACATGGCCTTAGTTTCACTGATAAGTAAAACTAGGTATAACACGAACTGAAAAATGACTTCTGGTGTACAAAAATCCATACTTGGGTACACATTAATGTTGAATCATAAGACAGAAATTATTGTTAATACAGATCCTTGACTATAGCTATAAAAGCAAATCAGGTGACCTGCTGCTTGTCTTTGGAATCTCATAGCAGCTTTATATGCATGAATTAATTTATTCTCCTGACCCTCTCCATTTTCATCACCCTCCGTCATCTGTAGTTTGAAGATCACTATTAACATCATCTTCCATAGTTTTTCTGATGTTCCAGACACTCATAAGACATACCATAACCTTTCTTGCTGGGAATGATCAAAGCTTTGAAGTCATTGAAGTTTTCATGGCAGTTTTTTGAAAACCATCCTATGATGAGCAGCTAAGAGGTTGTGACCTTCTTATTGGGGCTTACGTGAAATTAGTGCTAACGTTTTATGGGCATCTCTGAATGCTTTGCTTTTGATCTGGATTCCATCCCAATATGTTTAAAATCTCTCAATGTTTAAACAGTGTTCTGTATAGAGGAAGACCTTACACATTATTCATTATGCAGTGTTAATTTTTTCTAATCACTTTTTGCGGGAATATAAAATGCAAGTTGATATATGTATGCTCAATTTACTAAATTCACCTGCTAATTGTTATAGTTTACCTGGAGATTCTTTCGATAACCATGTTTTCTATAAACAATGACAGTCCTTTTTTCCTCTGCAATACTTTGCCATTTGTTCTAACCAGCATCTCCAGCATAATGTTACCTAGAAGAGGTGATAATGGGCATCTTAATCTTCTCCCTGATCTCATGGTGCAAACTTAAAAGATTTTACCATTAATCATGAGGCACAGAGTGAGGGTTTGGTAGATGCTCTTTCACAGATTAAATTAGTTTATTTCTATTTCTAGTGTGCTAAGAGTTTATAATGTGGATGGATGTTGAGAAATATCAATGTGTTTTATTTAATTATTGAGGTGATTCTATAATTTTCTCCTTACTTTCTTTCTGTAGTGGATTATATAGATTTTTTAATATTAAAACAATCTCAAACTCACCTTGATCTCACTTGACTCAGTTTTCAGCTAAAAGAATTTGGGATTTCTGTGTTTGTGTCTATGAGAGATGATATCTTGTAATATCTTTTTCTTATAATGTCTTTATTAGGTTTCATTATCAAGGTTATACTGGCTTAGTAAAATTGTAAGTGTTCCCTCTTTTCCTATTCTTTGACAAAGTTTAGATGAGATTGGTGTTATTTTTCCCTTAAATGTTTGTAATTTTCACCACTACACTTATCTGTACCTGAAGTTTCCATTGTGGGAAGGTTTTAAGTTTCAGACACATATCTTTATTAAATATAGGCATTTTTAAAATTTTTATAATATATCTTGTACATGTTTTTAATAAATTGCTTTTAAATGTAACTTGGGCCCTAACCGGTTTGGCTCAGTGGATAGAGCATCAGTCTGCAGACTCAGGGGTCCCAGGTTTGATTCCGGCCAAGGGCATGTACCTTGGTTGCGGGCACATCCCCATTGGGGAGTGTGCAGGAGGCCGCTGATCGATGTTTCTCTCTCATCGATGTTTCTAACTCTCTATCCCTCTCCCTTCCTCTCTGTAAAAAAATCAATAAAATACATTTTTAAAAAATTATTTAAATGTAGCTTGGTCATTTTATCAAAATTTTATAATAGCAATGCCCTCAATTGCATTCTAGATAATATTTGTGCTCACATCTAATCTTCATCATGACTCTTTGTTGTAGGTATTACTATTTTCTCACCTTTATAAATGAGGAAACAAGCCCTGGCTGTTGTGGTTCAGTTGGTTGGGTGTAGTCCCGTGCACTGAAATGCACCGAAAGTTTGCCAGTTTGAGTCCCAGTCAGGGCACATGCCTGGGTTGTGGGCTAGATTCCCAGAAGGGAGCATGCAGGAGGCAGCCAATCGATGCTTTGCTCTAGCATTGATGTTTCTCTCTCTCCCTTTCCCTTTCTCTAATAATCAATAAAAATATTTTTAAATAAATAAATATATAAATGAGGAAGTGAACCTTAAAGAGCAAGGCAGTTGCCCAGGTTTACTTCACTAGTAAGCTCAGAGCCAGGACTCAAAGCAAGGGCTGTGGCCTCCAAAGCCCATATTCTTCACAACCACAGCACACTCACTGCAGGCACCCATTGTAGTCAGGGATACGCTGCTGTTAGTCTTTTTAGAAAACAAAATGCATATGGGAGCAGGGTTTTTGTCCAAGAAAAAGAGAAAATGGATTAGGAAAAAGATAAATGAACTTTTCCTCAGTCCCTAAACACTTACACATTTGACCACACTACTAGTTTGAATCATTTTCCACTTTCCACGAACTTTTATGTGCTATTCAGTATCTACAAAGAGCTCCTCCCCATCCTATTAGAAAACTTTGGATAATCCTGTAAGTACCAGCTTCTATTCAGTGACGGATTCCTTCTATTCTTCTCTTCTGTGTCTTCCATCCCGTGAATGATTCCTTAACTCTCTCAACAAAATAGATCTCTCTGCTTATATTGCCACTGTAGTCATCTTAAAAAACCCTCTGTTGTAGTTCATCTATTTACATATAACATTGTAAATATGTTTATAAACATTGTCCTCTCCTACGGAATTATCTGTCACTTGAAAGTAGTCAGAACCATGTCTCCTGCATTTCTATCCCCGGCGTTTAACATAATCACAAAGGAGGTGCAAAGGGAAACCATGATGGTCAATGCTATAGGACTAATTAGATTTACATGCTTTTCTAATCTCCCCTAAGAATCTTTCCCTGAAGGAATTTACCACAGCAGAACTTTGCTTGACATACAGTTTTCTCTACATATAAAATTGGCCCCCCAAAAGAATGATCTAAACTACTTCCGTCATTTAAGGCTCCGGCTCTATTTTAAATGAAGAAATGCTGACACATGGCTTCAAAAACTGAAGTATATTTTTTTAACTGTTCACATTTAATCAGTTCATGCTTAAATGCATACATTCACCGACTCTATCGCTGTCTAATACCTCAATTAGAGATAACATCGAACTCTAATTTTGACCTAAATTTGAGGTTTCACTAAATGTGAAGCTCCAGTATTTGTCTTGCCTCCCTGCTCCTCGCTGCCCTTCTCCATTCTCCTCTGTTCTGCTGATTATGAACGGACTGTATGATGTACCAACCAAAAACTTCTGTGAGGGGCATCTAACCACAGAAAACCATTAGAAAACTTTGAAGGCCCGAGAATACCCTGTGGAACTTAGGGCTGCAATAAGGGACACAGCCACTAGGTGGAACCCCATATAACTGAAGGTTGCCTCCTGCCCATTAATTACTTCAGCCCTTATGATGCCTGCGGATGCTGGAAAGGACCAAAGAAAGCAGGAAACCAATCCCTTCCTTTTCACAGAAGAGGGATGTGAAGGCCAGTCAAGGAACGGAGTAGTTAGGTCACACACTGAATTAGTGGTTAATACAAAATCAGCACCCAGAGTCGGTACTGCCCTATGTCTCTGCATTTGTCATAGTAATTGTTTTGCCCCAGGGTTATGACTGGAAAGGGTGTACAGCTTAAATAACAGGAGACAGGCCTGATCAGTCTCCTCTACAGCGAGACAAAGTAGTATTGGCTTAACGTTAATTAGCTCGTGTTCTGTGGTCACATGCTTACAGCCCGAGGAAGCGGGCTTCCAGGACGGTGTCTGCAACAGTGACTGTGAGGATGGAGGTCTCCAGCCTTCTTAGATCATCAAGGAGGCCTACGTCACTGGTCTGAATCAACTACAGGAAGGGGTGTGAGCATACTGAGTGGGAAGGATTGTCTGCAGCTTTTCTATGGACAAATTATGTGATCTTGGAGGCAAGTTTCCAGCCCACTGTCTCCATGGTGAAATGGGACAGTCTGCTTTGCCCAATCAGCACAAGGAGTTATGGGGATTTGGTTTCAGCTGATTGTGGGACAAAACTGATCGTGACAGGATATCATTGGTAGCCTCCCTGCCCCTTCAGGCCCATCAGGTCCCTTTTCCCACAGTTGTCCTCATTCGACCAGCCCTGTGTCCTAGAAGTGACTGAGGCAAATAAACCACAATGATGTACAGTGATCTGAGAAATGGAATAATGCATCGGGTAGTGATGGTTGAAATAGTAGGGATGATATATGCAATTATTACACAATCTCTGGCATATATACAATGGTGTTCAAAAAATGCTTGCTATGGCTCTGCTGTTTCACTCCTCTCAGATATATTCACATTAAAAAAATAACTACAGTGAAAACATCTCTTCATCTCTAGAGCCAAAGTGATCTGGCCTCCTGATAGAATCTCCGTGCCATTATATTTATATATAAAGTGTAGCAGCCACAATAAAGAGAGGTGCTCATACATAAGTATTAATTTGGCTTCTGGTATCTTCACTTATTAAATTTGTAAAGTGAATGTGAAAGAAAGTCCATTAAAAAAAGAAACTGACTATAAGATTTACAGAAAGAATAACACTCAAAGTAGGTTGGCTCTCTCAGACTTCGTATCACTTTATGTTGTTAAAATCATTTGAGAAACATTCCCATAATCTAGTAAAATTTAAGTATAGACGACAACAAAGCATTTACTTAACTCCAGGCACTGTTCAAATTGCTATATATAATGATTATTCTACTTATTTGTTACAACCAACTCTGTGAGTTAAAAACATTACACCAACGTTTCAGAAGAAAATGTCAAGATCAACAATAAAAATAAAGTGTGTCACAGGTAAATGTCAGAGTGGGAATTTGAACACTGCTGTTTATATGCCAGAGATTGTGTAATAATTGCACATATCATTTTATATTTGGTGTTTGACTCCAAAACCTGTACTCTTAACCACTACATATTTAGGTTATTTGTTTCCTTGGACTCAAAGCTAAGAAAATAAACTATGGCTAAAACTACTTGCACATAGAGGTTCATTTATAATAGTGAAAAATTGGAAGCCATATAAAGGTCATAGAGTGATAGAGTAAATTATGAAGCAATATATAGTCATCTGAAAGAATATATATATATATAAATATAAATGTATACATATAATAGGTAAAAACAAATCCATGTTTTTTGTGGATGCTTCCCTTTTGGGAGATAAAGAAAACAGAACAAATGTCAAGTTTTATGCATGAAATACATCAGAATAAGAAAGCAAACTCATATATTCATTCTGGTCAGTACGTTCTGAATATGAGAATGTTTTAGTTCCTAGTGTTACTAAGCTTTGTCTCACCAAGCAAGATCAAGCATTTGAGACAATAATCACCATGTTCTTGTTGTTTTTTATAAGAAGGTTTTAGAAGTAATGAAACCAGTAAGAATAAAACCTGGGCTTCTGATGTCCCTACCCGGGGACCTAAGCTGGAGAAGGAAACCCCTCCCCCACGCGCCCCCCCCCCCCAACATGGATGACAAGATGGAAAGTGAGCCCAGAAGAGGCAATTCTGCTGCTGGGCACACCCTGCTTTTTTCAAGGATGCACTAAAATCTGACTCTGTAGCTTCTCCTTTAAGAACACCAAGTAAAGAAGAAAGTTCCTTAATGTGAAATTATTGACTAAATAATAATACGGATATCACACCCATCATGAGTCCCATACTTCTCGTGGGGTAATCCCAGGACCCTGAGAAGATGTGTCCTGAGCCAGAGAGGGTGCAGTCAATGCTGCCGATTTCTTCTAGGTCCCCTGTACCTTGCCTTCTCTCTTTCATTCTTTTTTTTTTTTTTT